TAAAAATATCACAGAAGCCAAAGTATCTGCAACTGGGATCATCCCTTTTTTGTACACCAACACCAACCTCCTCGTTCCCTCATGGTACTCTTCCAGTGCAAGGCTGATTTAAAAAAAAAAAAAGCTAACATCAAACATCAAAATTGGTAATTAAGCATAAATTCCCCTAAAACATTTTCAAAGCCTTAATTTCAGTAGCTCGTAAGATATGCTACAGTGCAGAGTCTTCTGCTAATCAGGTTCTAATAAAGCATCCAGTTTAATTCCAACATAACGTATTTGGAAATGACAAATTAAATTGAAAAGCACCACTGTAGATGCAGACAATACACTGTGACACTTGTCTTACTACCTTAATTCCTTGCTTGAAAAAGGAGCTTTGCCTTCCTCTTACCCTTAATGGAGTGCAGCTTTTCAGAGAGGATCTTTCCATTTTCTTCTTGAGTTTATGTATGGTTTAGTGAGGATTGGACCAGTCTAGCAAGGAATCCAATCTGTCAGCTCCTTACCAAAATCTTGTACACCCAAATTCTTGTATAATTGAAGAGCAAGTTGTTATTTAACATTTTTCTCTGCTGAGATGGTAAGAAGTCCAACTGCCCCAAGCCTGTAGCACTGCATGGGGTTGTTGTGACCAAAGTGCAGGACCCAGCACTTGGTCTTGTTGAATCTCATATAACTGGCCTATCCAGATCCCTGTGTAGGGCATTCCTACCTGCAGACAGATTTCCTCCCAAGTTGGTGCCATCTGCAATCTTAATTAGACAATCTCAATCCCCTCATGCAGATCATCAACAAATATATTAAACAGGACCAGCCTCAGTACTGAACCCTCAGGATCACCACTCATGACAAGTCACCAGGGTATGGAAGAAAGGGCAGAGCATGTAATTTGGCCCAAAGTCTTCCACAGCTTTGGTAGAGCTGTGATGTGTTCTTCAGTTCTGTAATACAAGCCCTTCCTTACTAAGTGTGCAGTGTTCCTACTTTAAAACTTGCTGTTTTAAATCCTCCAGGTTTGGGATATTTTAGTTATAAAGGGACAAATAAGCCTCTTTAAGTCAGCGGCTGCTTAGAAGACTTCGACATTTCTGGATTAAATAAATTCTGGACCACATACTAAAAAAGAGGGAAAAGAAATCTGATTACTTTTCTGGTTTTCATTTGGTACTGCAAGAGAAATAAATAAGATGTGGTCAATGTGAGAGAGCCCATTCTGCAGGTGCTCTGTGGAGGATAGCAATGCTTTTCCTGAGTGAAATGCATTCAGTGGAGACATTCATGCCCCAAGGCCTACATTTATTGCTCGAAGAATACAGACAATATTTTAGGGATGTCATTATTTACAGGATCAATATTGCTATTTAGCCAGACAGCTGCGAGGCGTGGGCAAATACCATCTGCTCTAATACATTTCTCTGTCTATCGATCTCTCTCTGTGTGCGTTTTGCTGATCAAATAGAGAAAGCAGGAACAGGAGCAACTTATTCCTAGTTTTACTGCATCAGTAATAGCATTTGTCCATACAACTTGCCAATCGAAAGCTACGTGTGCAGCCTGAGCAAGCATGGAGCCCTATGGAAAGAGCTAAATCAGCTCATCCCATCTATTACAGACAGGACCTGACCCCTCCTGGCACACCTGCCCCAGTCCCAGAGCCCAAACCTTATCATACTGCTCTTCAGGATACAGGAAATCTTTACAGTTCATGCTACTGTTTGAATGGGTGGTAGGGATGTTTGAGTTTCCTCCTGCAGAGCTCTCATCCATCCAGCTCAGTAGAAATCTGTTAGGGTGGTTAACTCTCAGCCATCTCAACAGCTAGTGGCAGGAAACTGAACTGGAGTCAGTGGCACAGCTATTTGTTTTAGAAAAACATCACTAGGATAAAGCAAGATTAAAAAAAAACAACACAAACCCCTCAACTTATGCTGTATGATAGAATCAGAGAATCAGAGAATCAGAGAATGGCCTGGGTTGAAAAGGATCTCAAAAATCATCTAGTTTCAACCCTCCTGCCATGGGCAAGGTTGCCAACCACCACACCAGGCTGCCCAGAGCAGCCTGTATATTATATACATATATAAAGTCTTATACCAAGCTAGTAAAGTCTCAGTTTTTCATTTGAACTTGGACTTTCTCAGCTCTAGAGCTCCTAGAACTTGTTCCACTTGTTGCAGGATGTGTGCTTACAACTGAAAAAAAATAAAATAAAAAAATTACTTTGGAATCTGTCATTTATGCCTCTGTAAATGCGTCTCATTAGACCTGATGACCGGGTTTGAAGACCCAAAAGAACGACACAACACAGTGGATGCAGTGCATTAGGGATCACAGATGGCTTCTAAACTGTTTTTAATCTAAATTCTATCTCTTCTCAGTGGGAAATTGGCAGCCCAATGAGATGCCAATGGACCCTGGGCAACCTGGTCTGGTGGCTGGTAACTCTACCCACAGCAGTGGGGTTGGGACTCGATGATCTTTAAAGACCCCTCCAACCCAAGTCTTTCTATGATTCTGTGGGTCTCACACAGCCTTAAAGACCCTGCAGGCCAGGGTTAACTGCCATCCTTTATTGGGTGCACATCAGGGCCAGCAACGCTTTCTGGATAGAAATACTGTCCTGAAAATATAAAGAGTTACATTTGAAATACATTTCATGTTTAAAGAAAAAAAAAAAAAAAAAGATTTTTCAGAATTCAATAATGAGAAACTTTCCAGAAAATATTTTGAAACATTATTGGCCTCTTTTTTTCCCTCTCATAGGGAATATATTTTGTTTCTGATATTCCTTATACGTGTACTGGTGGCATTTCACTAGTTAGTGCTGCTCCCAATCCCCGCAGCATCAACAGAAGGGATGTTCAAAGACAGGAAGAACTCATTTTTGTCCTTCCCCAGGAAGGCAACTCTCTGTAGCACTGAGGCTGATCTGAGAAGACCTGGGCAGGTTGTTTACCTTGTAATGGCACCAAGAGCTTATTTCTAACACTCGCATTGATTTTACCTGATGCTGTCGGGGCTCTCTCACAGCAGTGATGCTGCAGATCGGCGTTCAGGTTAAAACTGCGCTGGTGTTTCACTCAGCAGCAGAACTCCTAATGATCTTGAAGCAGATAGATTTTCCCCAGCACTTACCCTATCCACAGCAGCATCTGGTCATAAAAAGGACAGTAACTCCATGCACCTGCAGTACACACACACAGTCCATCCATGTGAGTACAGAAGTGAAGTACAGGCGTTCATTTTTCCCACCCACTTCCATCTGCATTTTCCAAACATTACGGTCAGAGTCATCTCACTTATGGCTCTGCAAGACAAATAAGCCTGTTGGTTTTTAGGAGCATTATTGTACAGTTATTTTACCATAAGGATAGTAATGGCACTGGCACGGATTGCCCAGAGGAGTGGTGGATGCTCCGTCCTCGGACACACTCAAGGTCAGGCCGGACGGAGCTCTGAGCACCTGATGGAGCTGTGTGTGTCCCTGTTCATTGCAAGGGAGTTGGACCAGATGGTCTTTAAAGGTCCCTTCCAGCTCAAACTGTGACTGTGTGATTTTGGGGTGTTGATGCTGCTGCAGTGTCACATAGCTGCTTGGAGCCAGGATGAGCTCAGTGGGGCTTCCTGGCAGGGAACAGGGATAAATAACAAGGACACGTCAAGGAATAATTAGAGAAATGGATAAATTAACGTGAACAGATCACTGCCCATTGCTAAAACTTCAGAAAACAACACTGGATGCAACCCTTCCCAAAACCATCAATAAAATAAAATCTTTATGCAGGCAATTCAAGTTTTATATCTTTAGAATAGCTCTGTATTTTTATCATAGCACAAATGGTAACCAAATGTGATACTTTCCACATATATGAAGGCAACATCCAAATCTTTGATGAACACACGTGCCTACTTGCTCAAGATACCAAAATTCTTTAAGACAGCTTAAATAAAACATCTTAAAATAATGAATACAGTGGGAATATGACTGAAGTCCATCAAATCATTGATAAAGGGAAAGAAAATATTTAACTTTCTCATGGCCTTCCTCTTGTAAGTACATATTTGTAATTGACTTGTCATCATTGACTAATTATACTTATGAATATGACAGCTATCCGAGATACGATTACAGCCATGCTCTCCTTCACACAGTATTGTTAATTTACTTGTTTCTCTGCAGACCATTAAGATGATGCATACATCTGTGCATCAGCTATTCATTTTAGCTATTGCTTAGCTATGCACCAGCTATTTATTTTAACTATTGCTTAGCTATGCATCAGCTGTTATCTTAATTAGCTATTTTAAATCTTAGTTAATGGACATCTAATTTTTTCCCTCATCTTGGGTACTTAGCCTTAAAAGCCACATCCAAAAGACCATGACATCAACCTAGTTACTCCAGTCTAACCAAGCAGGAACAATAAATTATATACAAAAGAATAAAAAGAGCAATTTGGGGCACTGCCATCTGTTCCAATTTGCCACACGGCACTCATGGGCACAGTGGATGGTAAAAAAGGAGGAACAGCGTTGGGAGAATCACTGCAGAAGGCACAAATTTCCTATTGCTGCATGAGGATATTCAACCCAAATCATATTTTGTCATCTGGGTATGTCCAGTTGGGAATGTAGGATGAGCAGTGTGGCCCTCCTCAAGACATGAGCTTGGGTGATTGCAAACCTGTGAATAATTCCATTGATTCTGTACAGAATTAGTATTGACATTGAAGAATTAAGATAGGGGGACACAAAGTTCCTGCACCTTTCCATTTCATTTTAGGGATGGAATTAAACTGGGTTTTCCTTCAATTAATGCTTGCCTTGGAAGCAGTGTAGCGGAGTCTGCAAGACCATGTTGGTGCATGAAGAGTTTCTATGCTGATGGATGGAGTGAGAAATAATGAGAGTTCAGAGCAACCCCAGGGTTGTGTGGCTCTGCAGATGTGAGCTGTGTACATCTGGTTTGCAGACAACTCATCAGCAGTGGACTGCAAAGGAGATGTCTGCACATTATCACAGTGGACAGGTGGGAGCTTTCCTGCCTTATGCAGAAACAGAATTTAACATTAAAATGTTAAATTTTAACATTTTGTGGGATTGGGAATGGAGAAGGCATGCAAGATTTAGTGGACATGGTAGTGATGGGTTGGGGTTGGATTAGATGATCTTGGAGGTCTTTTCCAATCTTAATGGTTGTATGATTCTATTTAGATCAGCATGTGAACAAAGATACAATGCTGTGAACACGATGGAAAGCTGAAGCTGTGGAAAGCTATGGATGCTGTGAAAGGCTGTTTTGTGGGTAGGGGTTTGACCTGGGAGCTGGGCTGTTATGGGGATTAAGCACATCATAGCTCATTAGTATGAGTTCTCACCAAGTCTGGGCAGCCTGATCTAGTGGTTGGGACTGGGCTGGAACTGCATGGGCTTTAAGGTCCCTTCCAACCTTACCCATTTTATGATATGATTAACAAGAGCCCGTTAGAGGGCTAGAGAGCACAGGCATGGCAGCTTCCTTCCAGGACTGAATTCCCACTGCTGTCAGTAGCCAGTACCAAGTGCAGTGGGGAAAATGAGCTCATTTGTTTCTTTTCAAAGAAAAAACAACAACAACAAAAATTCAAATCCTTTGGAAGTTTCCAAGTGAAAAATTCCTGGCTTTGATTAAAGACACCTCGTGATGTGCTCTCAGATCTGGAAGAGAGGAGGGAGGCAGCCTTAATGCTTTGTCCATTCAGAGCTGGATTTACACTGACGTTTAAGTGTATACTTTTTAGTCAACTTGTAGATATTTCTTTAAATGGTGTTTGAATGGAGTTCACACACCTGCTCTGCTGAAAGACTCCCAGCTCTTTTCTGTAGTGCACCTTCCAACCACTCACTGGTGGTGAGGCACACCTGGAGACTTTCAAGGTGATGCTGGATAAGGTCTTGGGCAACCTGGTGTCCTTGTTCATTGCAGGGGAATTGGACTAAATGGCCTTAAGAGGTACCTTCCAACTCCAAAGATTCTACATTTGTCCCTCTCTCTCTGTAAGCATTCCTTAGAGAATTTGCTGAGCTACAGAGCCACAGTGCAGAAAGAAGGAAGCCACATCAGGAAGAAAGTTCCCCATCACCTTTATCTTGAACATTGCTGGCTGCGAGACCAAAAATCCATGCCAGAGACTGTGTGGTTTGTTAGGATGGAGTTGGAGATGAGAAATCGCTGTTAGGTTGTTGTTTCCTCCATCAGTTTCTTCCAGATGTAAATAGGGAACCTTGCTGCAGTTGCTGGTTATGATGCCAATCCTCTGACTATTGATTTCTGTGGGATGATGAGACCAATTCCCATTAAGACCTAGAAGTAGGAGTTGTGTGATGACACCATGCTGTCCCTACTTGGAAAATACATCCTCCATCTGACCCATAGACTCATCTGGCAGCTCTGACAAGAGATAGCAGTGAGAGCATGGTGTGTACTGAATCATAGAACCATTAGAGTTGGAAGAGGCCTTTAAAGATCATCTGGTCCAACTCCCCTGCAATGAACCTACATCTACAGCTTTGGGTGTAGATGGCAGGTAGGTGCTCAGAGCCCCATCCAGCCCAACCTTGAGTGTTCCAGGGATGGAAGAGTGTTGACTTTTGTTTCAAAGATAAAATTTAGAGGCTGCTTTTGAAGCAAACCATATCCTGCCAGATGCTGCTTTGCTCCAGGAGACAGGGATGCTGTTTGCAGAGGTGCCAGGTGGGGTGTCCATGGGTGATGGGCCTTCCCACAGCCTAGTAGCAGCTCCCTACAGAACAGGAGATTTGCAGCCTAGGTGGGACAAGGTTAAAGTGATGACACATGGCCATAGAAGCGAGCTCATCCTGGAAATTGTCTTTAGCTATTTCCTGAACCACATCTGACTTCTCTTAATTTTTTTTCCCACTGTTCTTATTCTTTCCCCCTTGTTTTCATTTTTGCTTTCCCCTTCAGGGAATGCTTTCATAGCAATTTCACAGGAATTCGGTTTTGGTTTTGTTTGTAACATAAGTGTTGCCAGTGGAGTGAAAACAGAATCCACAGGCGCAATTATTGGTCACAACAGAGTGAATAAAGGAATTAATTCTCTCCAGCATTGTTATGACTTTCACGTGCACAGCGATGGCACAGGCTGCTGCTCTAACTGCGGTGTCTTCAGGAGAAGGAAAATTCTCTGAAGGTTTGTGGGAGATAATTAGTTTGAACCAGCCTCCAGAAAAGATGTATCCTCCTTTGGGAACCTCAGAGCTAAACGCAGCGAATGAACAGGTTCCTATGGGTGACATGAGAGGAGACAGACATCGGGCTGCTCTAAGGAGGGAGGAAGAATACTCTTTCCCTGCCATTCACTTGGCTTCTTTGTGATGCAGTTATTTGCCTTTCTGCCATGAATAGGGCAGGGATGCAGCCAATCTCTGCAGCAGAGTGGCACTAAAATTAGCTGCCTTTGACAGAAAATGCCCTGAGTTTGGCGTCGTTATGTTTGCTTGATGTTTTTGTTATTTCTTAAATATTTCAGCAGGAGGAAGCAGGTCTTCATGAGCTCCAACTGGCAAGCATCAGCAGCACCAAGGTAAATGCTATTGGTTAATCCCAGAAAAAGTGTAGAAAAGTGACTTTTTTCCAACAGTGAAATTATCAGCATAGAGAAGGTCATATCTTTGTGGTCACTTTGATTTCCTGCCTTTAGCAAAGCTTTTTGTGCCCTTCCAATGTCCCCTTCTCCTCCCTGACTCTCTGCTTCCTGCAGGTTCCCTTCAAGCCCGACCAGTCTGAGGATTTCAGCAGGACATGAGGTCATTACTCAAGAAAAGTCAGTCCTAAAGCATCTTCCAACAATGGCCTGAGGAGAGGAGCCTGGTTCTGCTTTGCTGCACAGTCCTTGCTTTCACTCTTCAGCCAAACTTGTAACAGCCCTGGGAGAAGAGTTAAACAATGAAGCAGCTGTGACATCTAGTGGCACTTGTGGCTAATTCAACTCAGACAAAAATACCCACTCTGAATATGACCATATGTATATTTGACAATCAAAATTTCATGCCCAGCCTGCAATTTCCTCTATGATGGAGGTATGGGAAAAGTAAAAATAATCATTTTTGGTCGGTGCAGGTGTAGGGTTGTTCAGCCATCCATTGCTTTTCTGCCACAACTGGTGACGAAAGGTTTCTCAGAATACCAAAGTAGAAGAAAATGCTTTAAAGGAGGGATTTGAATGTCATTCTGTGGGTTTCCACAAGTGCCAAAACAACTATAGGAGTGAACAGGGAAAAAATGATGGGGATGGGCTGATGGTTGGCAGGAACTGCTGTTCTGTCTCTGCTGATGGCACCAACAAGGTCTCCCAGGGCACAAGAGCTGGGACAGCACATGTGTACTCATCTGGCACATAGGACCTGAATTTCCTCCCTAGCTGCATGCCATTTGGACAGCAAAGGCTCATGTCCAGTGCCTAAATATAGCTGCTGAGTGCTGTCTGTTATGCCCTATGGTACCCGAGGCACCTGCAGAAGGCTGGCTGGTTGAGTATAGGACTTAAGGGAAAACCAGGCCTTCCTGGAGGGGCAGGGAGAAGCTGAAGGGGTGATGAGAGGTGGCTTGAATTGTAATAGATGCCAGTCCACAAGCAGCTTAAATGCTCCCTGTGTTGTCTGCAACAATCTCATAAAACAAGTCATCAGGAAATCCAGGAGAGGAGATACACGGATTCTTGCATGGAAATGTGCATATGGGAAATAGGATGCTGTGTGTGCTAGGAGTGAGTTACCTGTGGGAATGGAGAAGGTGAGCTTGGCAGGCACTTTCTGTACCCATCTCAGGTTCATGGGAAAGAGAGAGTTTGATGCAGGTGACAATTCTATCCAGGTGCTTCTGAGTGCCAGTGCTTGGAGCACAGTCTGTGTATATGCCATGGAAGTAATCATAGAATGGTTTGGATTGGAGGAGGCCTTTAAGAGCATCTCTTGCCAACCCTCCGCTATAGGCAGGGAGACCTCCTTCTAGACTAGGTTGCTCACAGCTCCATCCAGCCTGGCCTTGAGTGCTTTCAGTGAGGGGACATTCACAACCTCACTGGTCTCAAAATAAAAAATTATTTCCTAATATCTAGTCTACATCTACCCTCTTCCAGTTTAAAATACCAGACTTAGGCTCTGGAGTGCAGACAGGACACCCTGCAAAACGCAGATGTGGCTTTTCTACCCCTGGTGCTAGGAAGTCCAGATGTTTAAGGGTGATTTATTTACACTGCACATTTTGTCAGATGATGGAAACAAACAAAGCATTAGCATTGCCTTTTCTTACACAGAAGAAGCCTTGGCTGGGAGAAATTGGCTGATTTCTGTGATGGCCCCAAGGAAGCGCATAGTCCCTAAGCTCCAAATTCCCACAACCAGAAGGTAAGCAAAGGAAAGAAAAACATTTTACCATTAGTTTTAAGGGAGTATCAAAAGAAGTTTAATTTTATGCTTGCAGCGAATTCTTTTCATCTAAAGATCTAGGAAAGGCAAAATGTGAGCAGGCAGTGTGATTTTATCTTATGCTCCTGCTGGAGTTCCCAGGTAAGTAAACATTAACATGACACTCTATTCCTTTCGGTTGTTGTTGTTTTTCCTATCTGAAGGTCGAGCCCTCTGCAGACATACTGGGCAGAAAGTCCTGTGTTTAACCTCATGAAGATCTGCTTTCAAACAAGATCAAAGCCCAGCTCTAAGTAAATGAGCAAAAAGATGTTTTCACTGGGATTCGGCTGTTTCTGGACGTGTGATTTCCACAAGGTTCAGCTCCAAAATCCGCATTGCTCTTAAAACAAGGTTGCACGCTTAAAAATGTATTAGGAAGACCCACCCCTTCTGCAGTGGCTGAAAAGCATTGTTCAGAGATTAAATCCCATGGCTTTTTTCCAACCCTTTGGCTGCCCCACACTGAGACAGAATTCAGTCTGTCCCAAGCGGTGCAGGGGAACTCCTGTGCCACCTGAGTGCTGCTCACTGCTGTATTGTTTCTCCCTGGGTTGAATGGATTCTTTCTACTTAGCTGATTGAATCAGTTAAATTAGCGTTGGCAGAACAGAGCGTTCTCTGCTAGGAACAAAGTCACTGCATTAAACCAACCCAAAACAGGCTTATTTCTTCTTATGTTCAAGTGAGTGGAGCTGGCTTCTGTCCCACAACACTTGTATTAGGCGGTAATGACTTGTGTCAACATGAGGGAATTGGGATTGTTCAGTTTGGAGAAGAGCGGGCTCAGGGGAGGCCCTATGGCTCTGTACTGCTCCCTGAGAGGAGATTGTAGTGAGCTGGGGATCCCAGGTAACAGTGACAGGACGAGAGGCAACGGCCTTAAGTTGTGCCGGGGGAGGTTTAGGTTGGATATTATGAAAAATATCAGAAAGAGTGGTAGTGCATTGGCACAGGCTGCCCAAAGGAGGGGAATCAACTCTTGAAAGGGTTGACAACTACAGCACAAGGGGAAATGGTTTCAAGTTGAGGGAGGGAAGGTTTAGGTTGGATGTCAGGGGGAAGTTCTTTACAGAGAGTGGTGAGGTGCTGGAACAGCTGCCCAGAGAGGCTGTGGATGCCCCGTCCATCCCTGGAGGTGTTCAAGGCCAGGTTGGATGGGGTCCTGGGCAAGCTGGTCTAGCATTAAATGTGGAGGTTGGTGGCCCTGTGTGTGGCAGGGGGGTGGAGATTCACAATCTTTGAGGTCCCTTTCAACCCTGGCCATTCTGTGATTCAGAGAGGTCCTGGGCTCGCTGTCCCTGGAGGTGGTTCAGGAACTGTGTAGAGGTGGAACTGAAGGACACGGTTAGTGGGCGCGGTGGGGATGGGCTGGATTTGGACTTGGTGACCTCAGAGGAGCTCTCAGTGTTCCCCCCAGCGGCGGGCGGGTAGCCAGGGCTCAGCGCTCACACAGGCGAGGCGCTGCGGACTATAGCCCCCACAATCCCCCGCGGGGCTTTCCCGCCCCTGAGCTCCCTTCTGATTGGCTGACACCGTGCGGAGGACCTTCCCCTTGAGCCAATCGCAACGCGGGGCTGCCCGGCGGCGCGCCGGTGGGGCAGTGCTCAGGCGCCGCGTAGGGCCGCCGTGGCGGTGTCATTGCGAGGGGACGATGTCTCACTGCAGCGCCGCGGCCGCCCGCCTCCTGGGCCGCTTCCTCCGCCGTGAGTACCGGCCCTCGTCCCTCCACGGCGTTCCGGGGTCTTCCGCGCTGCTTGGCAACCGGCTCCCCCCGCGGCCGCTGCTCCGGGGTAGGCCGCGGGGCCTGCGCTGAAGGGGAGCCCGGCCACCTCCTCCTCTTCCTCCTCCTCTTCCCGCCGCCTCGCAAGGTCACCCGGGGAGGGGAGAGCGGGGCTGAGCGCTCTGAGGAGAACCCGCGCCTCGGGGAGCTGAGGTTCCTCTGGATGGAGAAGCCGCTGCGCTCTGGGGTGGCTTTTTCTGTGGTGTGACCGTGGTGGATAGGAGCCACGTCGGGCTTTTTGGGGGCAGCGAGTAGAGCTGAAGTCTTAGTGATACGTTATCCCTTTTGGAAAGGGCGAACACGAGGACAGGCTGAGGGAGCTGGGCTTGTTCAGCCAGGAGAATTGAAGGCTGCGGGGTGACCTCATTGCAGCCTTTCAGTACCTGAAGGGAGCCTGCAAACGGGGGGAATCAACTCTTTGAAAGGGTTGATAACTGCAGGACAAGGGGAAGTGGTTTTAAGTTCAAGGAGGGTAGATTTAGGTTGGATGTCAGGGGGAAGTTCTTTACAGAGAGAGTGGTGAGGTGCTGGAACAGCTGCACAGAGAGGCTGTGGATGCCCCGTCCCTGGAGGTGTTCAAGGCCAGGTTGGATGGGGCCTTGGGCAGTCTGGTCTAGCATTAAATGGGGAGGTTGGTGGCCCTGTGTGTGGCAGGGGGTTGGAGATTCACAATCCTTGAGGTCCCTTCCAACCCTGGCCATTCTGTGAACACTGATTGTGGAGCTCACCTGCTGGTTCCACACAGCACCACCCAAAACTCAAACCTTTACGTATTCACTGGGAGACCACAAGCAATCTGAGGCTAAATTTTCAGCTTGTAAGCCTTTATATGCATTGCTTTGAAGATTGTAGTAAATAAATAATTAAAAAAAACCCCAACTTTATTTTTCTTTCTTTGTGCTTATTTTGGGCAGTTAATGCTGCATCCTCTATTGGAGTCAGTATGGGCATGTCAAAGCACAGGAGTTGTTTCTTGGAATCTTAAGCTGAGGATTTGATGTGTTAGCCTTGCATCTTGCAGCTGGCAACAAATGAGCAAAATTAAGCTTAATTGTTTTCAGTGAAACTCCTTGCAAGAAAAGCTTTATGCTTTTAATGTCCCTGACCCTGGAGGCATTCAAGGCCAGGCTGGATGTGGCTCTGGGCAGCCTAGTCTGCTGGTTGGTGACCCTGCACACAGCAGGGGGATTTAAACTGGATGATCATTGTGGTCCTTTTCAACCCAGGGCATTCTTTGATTAACTTGTGGGTCAGGGACTCCTAATGTGATTCTGCAGTGCTTTAGGCTGTGGTGCTGTGGCACACTCACCCTCCTGCAAGTGTCCTTTCCTGCTTCATGTCCCCTATAAGCACTAGTAGAGAGCTGTGTTGCCTCAGCACAGTGTCTCTGTCTATCAGTTGAACTCTTTGAGCTCACTCCTGTGAGTCCAAGAGAATTGGTTCTGTTGGTGGATGGACGTATAGCATCTCTGTTGTGGGTTAATTTGTACTCCAGCAAAGCTAATTTTTTACAGATTTTTATGTCTTTGAAACCCCACTTCATTCCCTTTACAAACAGCAGTCAAACAGATTGAAGGAAGAGTGCTTATGGTTCTTTTTGGGTCGTTAAGGGGAGAGGTGGACTGAGTGGTTCAAGAGGTGTTCTGCTTGCAACGGTTTATAGACTCTTTTAAAGAAACTTCTGAGAGATCAAATATTCCTTCATTGAAACATTTTTCTGGTTCATTGCTCTTAAATGTTAAAAGTCTGCTGGAACCTTAAATTTGGGATGTTACGTTGGGTGTGATTGAAGCCTTTGGAAAGCTCTTAGATTAAATCATGGAAGTAGATTAGGGGCATAGCTCTGGCAAAGATTGCTGTAGAAGTAATGATGCAAATGGAGGATTTGTTGGGTGTTTCAGTGTGAGCAGCACTGGGAGAGGGGCTCCCAGCCCTTCAGCTGCATGCATTCTCAGTGAAGTATATATGGGAAAAAGGTTGTTGTCTTGGAAGAACAGGAGTGCCTATTTTCTCCTTAAACTCCTTAGATTTGGAAGGAAGCTTCACTCTATGACTCCATGGCCCAGTGCAGCCATTATTGTTCTTTGCAGTGAGTGGGGATTTTTGGTTAGGGAACAAATAAGTGTTGAAAGAAATAGAAATTCTTCTAAGTGTTGCTTTCCCATTAGTCCTACTTCTGTGTAATGTGGTGGGTGTAGCATAGTCATCACATCTGTCCTTCTATAGACTGGTTAACTTATTTCTTAAACTCTTACGCTGTGTTCATAGATGGGGATTTCCATAATTAACAGGAACTTGGCAAGAGGAGAGTGAGGGAAGAGAAACTGAGGAACAGTAGCTAGAAATCCTGTCCTGAGCACATAATTCTCTTTCAGACAAGGAGAAAGATATTCTGAGCAATCCCTTGATTACGTGGGATCTCCTTGTCAGTAAGGATCATCTTGTGCAAGTGCAATTGCCACCTTGAAGGCTGAATTCTGCAGACTGATTTGAGAGAAGATGAATAATTGTTCCAAATGTGCACATGTGAATATGGCCTAATAATGATGGTCTAAACCTAAGGAAGGACTGGGACGAGAACTTGTGCCAAATGTCAAACTTCCACTCAGTGAGCTTGGAAATTTCAATGCAGCACTTTGGTCTTCACTCAACTTTTGTTGTTTCTTTTTTTATTTTTGTTTTTTTTCCCCATGTATTTTCTGTGTTGTAAGAAGCTACTCAGAACTGCTGCAGTTCTGTCCTCTTCCAGCAGAAAAACTTGGGTATTTCCACTGGTGCTCTTTGGACTTGACTCCTTTCTCTGACTTTGCCCTGAAGTCCATTCTTCCCATTTGTACTGGAGCCTATTTATTTTCTAAGGCTTTCTTTTCTTACATAGGAAATAGAAAGGAATATCTTGCTTTATCTTTAAGCTCCTAGGGCATTTCAAGAAGTGATAGAGGGAGAATTTCATTTACTGCTTGTCAGTCTCCTGGCAGTGGAACTACCTGCTCAGGTCCTTCTGGAAAGGAATCTTTGTTTCTTTCCCTTGTTTTCATGTTGTGCTATTCTGTGAGCACCTTCAGATCCTTCCTTGCCTTCCAAACTTCTTTTTTTTTTGGTCCAAGATAAATGTGGGCAAGAGAGAAGCACTCTGATTTGGATTCCTCTCTATAGCTTTAGGGAATCTTGTGAGAAGTCCTGAAAATAACAAGTTTCCAACTCCATGAAGTTTGAGTTGGGAAGGGATTGAGCCCTGCTATCTGTACTGCTGGGGTAAGCTGTACAAAGGTGACTTGGGCTCTATTGCTTTAAATCAGATCTATTTGTTTTCCTTAAATACAAATGCAAACTATCAAAAACCAAAAATTATGTGGCAGAAGCCAAAGGGATTGCCTGAGGAAGGTTACCTGGCACCGTGTTCTGCTTTTCTGAGGGTGCACTACAGGCCTTCATTGAGCACAGTGATATTAGTGTTATTAGACCTCTGATCTGACAAAATACAGCATTTTCACTGTGCTTCTGATTGGATCTGGGTTTGCAAAGTCTTGTTCTTGTGCTCTGTGGCTTGACACAAAGCCTGCACTATTGCAGCTTGGCCTGTAAGTTAGAGCTGTACATTAAAATAGGGTCAGTGATGAGGTTAGCTTTTAGTGGCTTGTTGCTGAAGCTTTGCAAGCAGAAGAGCAAATAATTTCTTGTCCTGTCTTCCTGAAGGCACATGGATTACACTGTGGAACCCTGATTTGTTCTAACAGAAGCAATTCCTTGAACAACAGTTGGAAGCTGTGAAACAAGATGAGCTGGTGAATGAAAGTCTAGCTGCAAATTGAGACTTGGCTTCTATTTCTGACTCTTACCTGCTGTGAACTTGGGTGTGCCGTTTCCATTTCCACCTGTTTTCTTCTCATCTCTTGTCTGTTAAATCTCTTGCTGTTTGCACCCAGGACTTGCAGCCTGTGCCATGTACAGCAAAACTGCATTTCCAGCCGTACTTCTGCTGCTCTGACTGTGCTGGTGGCCAGGGAGAAAGTTTTCTACTTCAGATGAGGTCACAGTGGGAAATAGAGAGCTGTATCATGCCAGCTGTAAGGGATAATAAAAATCTCTCATCCTAATCTATCCCAGAAAGCACAAAGGGTTTTTTTTTTCCTTCTTCTTTTCTTTCAAAACATATTGCTCTGCAGACACGTGTATATGCTGAGCTGCCTCTACCAGAAGTCATAGAGTCACAGAAGGGCCTGGGTTGAAAAGGACCACAATACTCATCCAATTCCAACCCCCTGCTATGTGCAGGGTCACCAACCAGCAGACCAGGCTGCCCAGAGCCACATCCAGCCTGGCCTTGAATGCCTGCAGGGATGGGGCATCCACAGCCTCCTTGGGCAACCTGTTCCAGTGCCTCACCACCCTGTGTGTGAAAAACTTCCTCCTAATATCTGACCTAAACCTCCCCTGTCTCAGTTTAAAACCATTCCCCCTTGTCCTATCACTATCCAGACCTAGTCAGCAAACTGCTCACACTCATAGCCAGATTTTTCTAAGCCAGCTGTATTTTCTCTAAACCAAGGTTACTTTGTCATTTATGAGGTATTTTCAAGACTAAATCCATAAAAAGTTTTGGAATTTAAGCAGTTTTTCAGTTATCGGTGCAGAAGAATAAATCTTTTCCAAGCTATCAAAGTGTGAAAAAGAAAAGACTTGAAAGCTTCTTATCCTTGAAAAATATATCCATGTATATGCCTGAAAGCTGAGAATTGGTCAAGTTAAGGTTTTGAAAACGTTTTTGTGAAAGGTTGTAAATATCTGAAAATGGATATGGGATGGACAGCTGATCTTGGCACTGTGGACGTGCTTTTATGGTATGGAGAAAGAAGGTCCTGCTAACAGTCACCTCATTCCTGCATCAGCAGTTTATATTGAAAAATATTCTTTCTGTGTAATAGCTTTTGCTTGCTTTAAGAAAACCTGGGATTTTGGGTCTCCTTTATCACTTTGCAGAAATGTGTAGAGGATGGGGATGAATTCATTTGTGAATGAAAGCAGTAGATAAGATGCTGGCATCTACTGTTCGTCCTGACTGGGGTTCTGATGTTCAGTGTGCTGTATGTGCATGGTCTGACCCTCAGCAAACTGGGTAAATTACCGATGTGTAATATCGTAGAAAAACAAGTCGTTACCACTTAAGAACTTCCAGAGCTGCTTTTAAAAGCAATTGGATGAATTCATCTTAAAAAAGGGTTGACCAGCATGGAGAGAGAGGTGATTGTCCCCCTCTATGCAGCTCTTGTGAGGCCCCATCTGCAGTGCTGCGTCCAGGCCTGGGGCCCTCAGTGAGGAAGGACGTGGAGCTCTTGGAGCGGGTCCAGGAGGGCACTAAGATGGTCAGAGGGTTGGAGCAGCTCTCCTGTGAGGAAAGGTTGAGGGAACTGGGCTTGTTTAGCTTGGAGAAGAGAAGGCTCTGGGGAGACCTCATTGTGGCCTTCCAGTACTTGAAGGGAGATTATAAGCAGGAAGGGGAACAGCTGTTTATGAGGGAGGATAGTGAAAGGACAAGAGGGAATGGTTTTAAACTGAGGCAGGGGAGGTTTAGGTCAGATATTAGGAGGAAGTTTTTCACACACAGGGTGGTGAGGCACTGGAACAGGTTGCCCAAGGAGGCTGTGGATGCCCCATCCCTGCAGGCATCCAAGGCCAGGCTGGATGTGGCTCTGGGCAGCCTGGTCTGCTGGTTGGTGACCCTGCACACAGCAGGGGGTTGGAACTGGATGACCTTTGTGGTCCTTTTCAACCCAGGCTGTTCTATGATTCTATGAAAACATAAATGTGTATGTACTTATTTGATAGGACATTTTTTAACGTGGAGCATAACGAGGCAGTGGATTAATGGTTTGCTTTCTCTTTTCTGCCTTTCTCTAGTGCACCAGAATGGAGTACGACACTGCTCTTACTCAGCATCAAGGAAAAATCTGTATATTAACAAAGGCACAAAGGTTATCTGTCAAGGTTTTACAGGCAAGCAGGTACGTGTATGTGCAATATTTCTATCACCCTTCTGGTGCAGAAAATTATTTGGCCATGAAATATAGCAATGCATAAGAGATATTATAGTTTGTTCTTTGTTGATAGGAAGCAAAGCTTTGTTGAAGAGATCCCTTTGGCTGTGTAGTTCTCCACTCTCCAAGTCCAAATAGCATTTTTCTTAATATCAATAAACTATAGATTTTTGTTTTTCAGTGTGCAAACTTAAAACTTTGTTTTTGAGTCAACTGTGTTGTGATTCCTGACTTGATTTTATGTTTCATTTTTATTTTTGTAGTTGGCTTTGCTCTTAAGCCTTAAGCCCTGTACAATTGAAAGGGCTTCTTTGTAAAGGGAGACTTGCTCCCTTTACAAGCTTTAAAAGCTACTTTTGTGAGACCTTACAGCTTTGAAAGTGATCTTTCACGAATGCCTTTGAACGTTGATGCCCACAGGAAAAAAAAATTGCTTTAATTTCAATCTCACATTCACTCTTTTACACATTTAAAAGGAGAGAAGACTGCTTTTTGCTTAATCTGTCTCCTGGTTATGGATGAGAATGGTAATTTCTTTGAATTTATCAGCTGCCATAATGGATGTGGAAAATAAAACATGGCTGCTACGTCTGCAGGTGTGTCAGCAACACAGGACAAATTGCTCTTCGGTGTGCCTCAGTTTAAAAGAAACAAAAGCCAAATACAAACTGATAGCATATTCTGAATTGATTTAAAACAAGTTGATGCACTCTTCAGAATAGCCGATTGTTTACTGGGGGTGAAATCACCTCATTGTAAATTGAGGTGCAATAAATTGTCTTCAGAATTATAGATGTCATCAGAATTGGGGTTTTTTTCCACATTTTATTTGTTGTTATATGCATTTTATCTTTGTTCTTTTTCTCTCATAGGGCACCTTTCACAGCCAACAGGCATTGGAGTACGGCACCAATCTAGTTGGAGGAGTTTCTCCAGGGAAAGGTGGAAAAACACATCTGGGTCTGCCTGTGTTTAATTCTGTGAAGGAGGTAATTTGTAGCAGTGACTGAAGGAGCAGACAGTTCAGTCCAAGAGCTAATGCTGCTGAATGCTTCCATTCCTCATAGTGAAGAGACAGATTTGAACCTTGGATGTCACTATGCAAGCAAGGAAATAGAAGCCTTGTGAGAGAGGCTTTCTGTGTGGTCTAGCATGAATCTGCCTTCCACTCTGATCTTCACACTCAGCAATGCAAATATCTTTTCTTTGCAGTAGGCTTACGTTTTATGCCTGTAGCTGTTTCCTGATCGATTTTGGTTTGTGTGATGAAGTTGTGGCCAAGTATTATCTAACAGTGTTTTTAGGGGAGGTCTTTCTCAGATAGTGCTTAGGTTTCAGTTCCCTGTGCTCTGTATGTCCATCTTCAGTGAATTTAACACTTGCACGTTTATGGTAAACTGTTACATATCTATCTATTTCACTTTTGCCTGTAGAGGACATACTTCAAGTGACTAGTAATCAGATGCTCTCTTTGGGCTCATTAAACGCTTGATACCTTTTTTATTATTGTCCTTGTAGGCCAAAGAACAGACTGGTGCTTCTGCCACGGTTATATATGTACCTCCTCCATTTGCTGCTGCTGCAATCAATGAAGCAATCGATGCAGAAATGCCCCTGGTTGTTTGCATTACTGAAGGGATTCCCCAGCAGGACATGGTTCGGGTTAAGCACAGACTGCTTCGCCAGAATAAGACTCGACTTGTGGGCCCAAACTGCCCTGGGGTCATCAATGTAAGTGAATTCTGAATTTGCTCCAAGGCTGAACCATTCTTAGTGATGGTTTGAATGCTTGATTTGTCTTCTTATTCTTTCTTTAGCCAGGAGAGTGTAAAATCGGTATCATGCCTGGTCACATTCACAAAAAAGGAAGAATTGGTGAGTTTTTGAATATTTATGCATCATCTAAAAGTAACGTTTGGTGCCCTAGTGTTCTTATCCACGAGGCTAACCTCATCCTACCCAGAAGACACTTAATATGCTGTGTAACACTTTGTCCTTCAGTTTGTAAGTTAGCTTTCTCATAAATCCTGAAGGCCAAAGACTTAATGATAGAGTTTGTTTCCTTAACACGATTATTCGAGCGTACTTCCAAAGAGAAGAGTTTACAAAGAACTTTCTAACCTGGGAATTCAGGCAGTAGTACCGTGGTGAGTGGAACTGACAAGCACACCCACTTCTCAGACAGGGGAGCTGAGATCAGAGAGGCAGAGAATGGTTCATAACCATGCATTAGTTACAAACCCTTTAGCATGCAAGCGTTGTATGCTGATTTCTAGTGTTCTTTGTCTTAAACTATAGAAATAAGAATAGATTGTAACTCCTGCATTGCATTATTTAAAAGGTGCTCCAAGACATACGTTGCTATCTTAATAAATAGAGCTTCAGAAACATTGCAAGCAGCATACACTGCCATTATCTGTCAGTGAGGTATTTTGTTTATCTTAAACACAGCACCTTTTAATGTTTGTAATTTTTCTGGTGGAAAAACATGTTTGCTGTGAGGAAAGCTGTTCACTGTACTGGAACTAACAGTACTCAGGGCAGTTTTTCTAACACAGAATCATAGAATGGCCTGAGTTGAAAAGGAGCACAGTAATCATCTAGTTTCAACCCCCTTGCTCAATGTGTGCAGGGTCGCCAACCATTAGTTTGACCACTTCTGACAATGGAATAAGCTGTACCTGGTGATGCTGGAATGGAGGAAGCATTAGCACTTGTGTCAAACTGGAAATAGAAAAATCAGACCACTGCAGTTATTTCCCTTCTAGATAACATTAAGCCATTGCTCTATGACTGTAACAGTGACAGTTGATATTGTCATTCAGGCTTTCTTCTGAATCAAAGTTCTTTTAAGATCTTGAGTGTCTGCTGGAGTCACAGGACCATGGAATCTGAATGAATGAATCTTTTGCACATCAAGTGCAAAAGGATGTTTTAAATCCTGATATCCTACTGCTGCTAGAAACGTTTTTGATAGTGATCCATGAGCCAGGGAGTAAAGATGTGAACTTTGCCACCTTCCCAACTTCATTTGACACTCACATTTGATGGAATGCTCCTCAGCCTTCTCTTGCTCTGAGGCATCCAAGAATCATTTGATAATCTTGGGATGTGAGCTTTGAAAACAGCCTCAAATTTTGGTCTGTAGTATCTGAATCTGAAACATAGGAAGTTCTTTGTGGGCTGTAGTAAGAAATAAACCCACTTCTTTGCTGGTAGACATCTGCACTCTTCTATGGTATAAAGAGCAGACAAAGTTAAATGTTAGTCTAATAGTGCATTTTGCCTTCTGTTTCTGGAATATGCTAATTACATTGCTTGTTAAGTGGCTTGAAATAGATGGAAGATAATGTCTGTTTTTCTTGAAAAGCTTCCTTCTTGTAGTGTTAACAAAAATCTTGACTTTAAAAAATGGATAAAAGGCATGCAAGTATTTTGTCCCCAACCTATGATTCAGTGCTTAACTTTGGCTGCAGAAAATGTAGTTAGGTCTGGCTGGGTTTGTGGTCTCTTGTAATACTGTAATATAAACATTAAATATGTACTGTAGAACAATCAGTTGCATCAGCAAGTATCTGAGGAATGGTAACTCTTTTATGTCATAGAATGGCCAGAGTTGGAAGGGACCTCAAGGATCATGAAGCTCCAACCCCCTGCCACACGCAGGGCCACCAACCTCCACATTTAATACTGGACCAGGCTGCCCAGGGCCCCATCGTGGAACACCTCCAGGGATGAGGCATCCACGACCTCTCTGGGCAACTGTTCCAGCACCTCACCACTCTCTCTGTGAAGAAATTCCCCTTGAAATCCAACCTAAATCTTCCTCCTTCAATGTAAAACCATTTCCCCTTGTCTTGCTATCACCTACCCTTTCAATGTAGCGTCTTTGGGTTCTGGAAGAACCTAATTGAGTTGCAACCCTGTTTTGAATTCAAGGTGTAAGCTACTTGTTTACAGGACAAGGTATATATTCTGTTTCCAACTTTCTTTCCTGATAAAGTGGTAGTGTGAAGAATGGCATCTCAGCCAACATTACTGCTTTGCTGGGCAGCTTTGATCTCTTTATAATTAAGTGTCAAAAATGCCAATCAAGAAATAGTACAAACGTAATCTTTTATAGAGTTTTCATGTTTTGGCAATGATAGCTGAAAAACCTGACATCTTGTGTTCAGTTCAGTAAGGTGATTTTGTTGAATTTAAGAACAGCTGCCTGTAGTCATGCACTCAGTGTCAAGTTTATCTCTCTTTGTTCCCAAAGGCATTGTGTCAAGATCTGGAACCCTGACCTATGAAGCTGTTCATCAGACAACGCAAGTTGGATTGGGGCAGTCCTTCTGTGTTGGTAGGTTTCCTCAGAAGCAGCCTGTAGACTCACTGGGTTTTTCTTCACAGGAACACATCCAAAATAATTTTCTGCAAGCCGAGAAATTGTTGGGTGGCTTATCATTATGCTGAGAAATGAGATCTCTATCTGTTGCGAAGATATAATCCTTTTCCGTTACCATTTCCACATCAGATTAATAAAAGCCTAGAAAACATCTTTGAGCAGAGAGCAGCCAACAAACATGGCATCAGTTCAGAAACAAATTGTTCTGAGAAGTTTAATATTAATGTAAAAGGACGGAGCATTCTTAGGCATTTAGTTGGGTATTCTGAGCAAGTTAGCTCATTCACTTTTTTTTTAACAGTAAAATTCTGTTGCTGGAGTCTTAACTCAGCTGTATTTTGTGTGGAGTCTCTGTATAGGATGTGATGTTTGGCTTATGGTTTGGAAGGTGAATAATCACAGAATCACAGAACGGCCAGAGTTGGAAGGGACCTCAAGGATCACGAATATCCAACCCCCTGCCACATGCAGGGCCACCAACCTCCCCATTCAATACCAGACCAGGCTGCCCAGGGCCCCATCCCACCTGGCCTTGAACACCTCCAGGGATGGGGCATCCACAGCCTCTCTGGGCAAATCATTCACAGATGTTTAACTTTGGATAGCAAGCTCTCTGTGAAGTAGTGGAGGAGAGATTTAGAGCAGATTCTTTGGCACTCCAAGAGCTGTCTGTCTTATGAGTCTTTGGGAATAACCTTCCTGTTGAAATTTGCTTTGAAACTGTTAATGTAAATGCAGTGTCATTATCTTGAGTTATTTTTTAATGCAATTTTACACTTTTTTTCCAGGGATTGGAGGTGATCCTTTCAATGGAACTAATTTTATTGACTGTCTTGATGTCTTCCTGAAGGATCCTCATACTGAGGGGATCATATTGATTGGGGAAATTGGAGGAAATGCTGAAGAAGATGCAGCAGCTTTCTTGAAGGAAAATAATTCTGTAAGTTTTGAAGAGCTTACTTCCAAATATGTTGCTGGTTAGCCCTTTTCTGCCATGTCAAGAAAGCTTGGTTCAATTTCTAACCTCTGCTGACAAAAGAGCAAAGGATACAAGCTATCATACTTTGATATAAGAGGAATTTAACATGATTAAAACTCCTAATTTCAGTTTAACTGTAGAGGATCAGCTCCAGATTTTTAATTCTATTATGATATTTGTAGGGAACATTTTGCTTTTTTTTTGGAAAGCATTTTGTAAAGTATTCCTTTTTATCAGGAGATGAAGTATTTCACACTTCTAGCTAAAGGTTCCACGTGGTCTGAGATTTCCAGCTCTTTGATGTATCAGCTAGCCAAAGATGTATTATTTGAAATCTGTTACCTAGAGTTGCTTTTCATTCACCCTTCACCATGTAACTCAGTGTCTTTTCTTTATTGACAGGGTTCAAATGCCAAGCCAGTAGTGTCATTCATTGCTGGTCTCACTGCTCCTCCAGGCAGACGGATGGGTCATGCTGGAGCAATCATTGCTGGTGGGAAGGGTGGAGCCAAAGAGAAGATAGCTGCTCTTCAGAGCGCTGGTGTTGTTGTCAGCATGTCCCCTGCTCAGTTAGGCAGCACCATCTACAAGGTTTGTTGATTGGTATATTTGTGCACTCACACTAAGCAGGAGTCTGCTTTTGAGGGAATAAGAGTTGGCAGTGCATATCAGAGCCAAATACTCTGCTGCTCGAAGCTTGGTTAATGTAGTTATGACTTAGGTGATATGCAGAAGTAGTTAAATGTAGTATTTCCTTTATAGGAAAGTGAGCTGCAAAAATGCAGAAGTGATTGCATTTTGCTGTGATGTACAACTGCTTGTTGAACTGTGTTTTCTGGGTTCTATCAGAGGAAGCAAAGAACCCAAATTAATTTAAAACAACAAAACAGTCTTTGAAAGTCAATATGGCATATAGAAATGTCTGTTAAGTACTAATTCGGAATTAGAGCTGAATGCATACAACTGAAAAACTTCTGTATGCTCTTACAGAGAATTAATGTTTTTCAAGCTAGTTTATGCTGTGTCTGGGAGCAAGTGGTTCCTTGGTATCACTGCAATCTAGCTCAATTGCTTTTCGTAGCCAGTGAGTTAATGTGAGGTGAGAGAAGGTTTGCACATATGAAGTATTTTTTAATTTAGTTTTTAATTCCTAAAATTAGATTTAAAATAAACACAAAGTAATTTAAAATATAATAGTAATAAAAGCCTTTTTTTTTTTTTTTTCTTCCATCTGAAATGTCTGTTTGCTACTTGCAGGAGTTTGAGAAAAGGAAATTGCTGTAAGAGAAGATACTTTGGAATACTGTCTCCAAATCATCAGTGCAGCACCTGACCTCTGCTTATCTTCTGTTTGCTAATCTTCAGTTGCCCAAATGACTGACACTGGTCATGGAATTTGACTTGGAAGCCATAAACCTTTAGGCTAAACCTGTTTTGATGTCTCCTCGTTTCAGACGTGATCACTGCACTGTAAATCACAGCAAATTAATAAATCTACTACTAAACCTGATTCATCTTGAATTCCTGAAGCAGAACCGTTTCTTCAGCCATCATAAAGAAACTAATCAGCCTTGAATCTTTTGTAACTTAAGCACTGCCCAGTTTAAGGTAAAGTCGCTTATAGAGATGCTTTTAAAGGTCAAGGCACTGACTTTTTATGCACACAAGACAGTTTGCTTTATTTTTAAAGATCTTTCTTGTTTGTTGCTGACAAGTATGTTTGAACAATAGGCCAAAGTTTCCGTCCACTAAACCAGAGCTGCTGGATCTGAAGGGGGTTGCTTGTTGATCCATGTAGCTGGGTGTGACTCCAGTCCAGACTTTCTTTTCAAGGCTGAGCCATGCACAGTGTAGTCCTCTGCTGACACATAACTGTTGTATGGAGAGGTGGAATTTTTATGCAGAAAAATGAGTGTAACTTCCAATGCGAATATGTATATTCACAGTTGTAACTATGAAAATGGATTGTTCTTTGGCTTACGTTACCTTGCTTTCCTCTTTAACCTGAGCTAGGATTGCATTGTTTGCGTGTTCTGAAATCCCAATAATGCTGGGACATAATGGACAAGATTGAGTGATCTCTGAAAAAGAATGCAGTGTTATCTTACTTGTTAACCACTCCAAGCACTGTAATGGAAAGCCTTTTTTTACTTTGGAAATAGCCCGAACACAGTGCCTATAAATTAGTGTTGTAAGCTTTATCAGAGTGGGCTAAACCCAAGATTGCTTTCTTTATATAAAAATCCCTGTAACCTGGCACTTGTCTAAAGCTAACCTTGTTCCATAAAGGTGCTGTTACAAAAGCTTGTCTTGTTATTTGTTTAAAACTGTGAGCTTTCTTTCTCAAGCGCCTGTGCAATTTTGCTTCCTAATGCAAGCAGTGACCATATATCTCAAAGCTGACATTTACAGTTCTGAGAGCTTAGCCCTGAGGAGATGTGTAAAAGGACAGGTCATATATCTGCTGTTCCGGATGTGTATTAGTGCACTTCACATGTGGTCAGAATTGGTCAGATGATGGGGTCCACAGGATGCAGGAGTTAGATGCTGTAAAACAGCAGCATGATTTGCTAAAATGGACCTGACATCAAGTCACTAAACAGCTGGGAGCAACACTGAACAGTAAATCATTTGATAAAACCTATGAAAGCAGGTAGGAATTGAATGCTAGATCTGCTCTTGTTTTCAAGTTGTGTTTGATTCAGTCTGAAGCAAAAAAGACAAATCAGTGCCCTTTAGCTCAAGAAATATCAGTACTAAAATGTCTCCATCTGGGAAAGAGTGCAGTTCTTCACCAGTGAATGTCAGGATGTTGCAGCCTGTCTTGTGATCCTGCATCAGAGCTGACTCATTCTAATGGTGGGCTTCTCCACAGCAGCTTTAGGGATGGGTAATGCTTCTTGATACAACCACCTGAATTTCATAGAATTGCAGAACGGTTTGGGTTCAAAGGGACCTCAAGGATCATGAAGTTCCAACTCCCCTGCTGCAGGCAGGGCTGCCAACCTCCATATCTAATACCAGACCAGGCTGCCCAGGGCCCCAGCCATCCTGGCCTTGAACACCTCCAGGAACGGAGCATCCACAGCCTGTCTGGGCAGCTGTTCCAGCACAACTGAAGCATGGTAGTTTCCTGCTAAGGATTGCTCAATGGAAGCTGTTTTAGAAGCACCAGCAACTTTATAAGTTAGCCATAAACTCCATTTTACTATTTTACTCTGAGGAGGCATTCCTCATACGTTGGTATTTGAAGGAGGGTTTGAAAGTGTCACCCTGATTCTAATGGTCACAGCAGATATTCAGGGCTACACGTTATCAGCTGCCTGGTTCTGTACAAGCCTGGGGAAGCAGACTGTGCCAGCATGAAGCAAAGGATCAGCTGAAGATGGAGAAGAAATCTGACTGTGATAGAAAGGCTTAATCTTTCCAGTTTTCTCTTGCTGCCTAAAAATGCACGCTTGTAAAAGGCTGATGATGTTTGTCACTGATAAAGACAGTGAAAAATAGATTCACATCCGTTTCATACCATATGTGCTTATGAATAAATATTTCAAGTAATCTGAACAGGAAGATTGTTCTGGTTTCTTTTTTTTTTTAAAGGAAAAAGTTGAGTTAGTGTTGAGCCTTAACCTCTGGCTACTTTATAGCTCAATAAATAGGTTTTATGTGCAAGAGAAGCACGTCTGAGGTTGCTGTTCAAATTCTCATTAGATTTTAAGAACTAATCCTCCCTTCTCCACCCCTCGTTCTCCTTGATCTACGCTGTCCTCAAATAAATATATGTACTATAGTTTGAAATTAATTAAGAGTTCTGGCACTGATCTTTCTTCTGTGGTTTTGTTGTTGTCCAGAATTAATATTTTATGCGATATTTTTGGACAAATGAGTGTTACTTTTTTAATACATAAAATGCTAGCTAGATTCTAGCAAATGGGTATTTATAACTCAATTTATTGAAACTCACTAACAAAAGAAAGCATTTGATGCCTATTCTTTTGGCTAAAAAAGATCTTTGTGCTTGGGAGCCAGAGAAGGGAGGAGAGGCTCTGAAAGATGGACGCTGAAGTGTCAAGATGTTCTTAAAACCATAGGGAATAACTGAGAAAATGATGCTGATTTTCTCAACAGCTGTTGTAGTTTCTGAGGTGTGCCCAGTCCTTTGCCCCTTTGTTATATATGTTTTATCCTCTCGGATTCCTGTTTCCTGTGGTGCTGACACAGTGCTAATTAGAATTGGATGGATGCTGCATGGAGATGGTGTAGGTGATTTTGGTTGAACTGAAGATGCAACTTAATTCTTGGTGGATCGAATGGCAGATTTAAAGTCTTAAGGTGAGGAGGGAGCACTCACTAAAGGGCCTCACCAGTGACGAGTGGGTTAGAGGTTGCACTCTGGCAGAAGGCCACTAATTAGGTGGTCTGAAAGTAGTTAAAAAATGTCCTTTGGCCTGGGGCAATGACTGACCCTGACACTGGTCCATGCAGGGCTGGTGGCTGGGTGCCCTCTGATAGGCATATCAAAATAGGCTGGGAAATGTTGGAATGTGAGCACTGAGGCACAGCACTGTGGTTTCAAGAACGGCCACAGGAGCTGGTTTCTGATTCTCAACCAATAAGCTCTTAACTGTGCTGAAACTGTGGAATGAAGCATGGCCTGCCGCTTCTTGCTGGTCAAGATTAGATTAAAGCTTTTCTTCAGAGGGACTCTCTGCAAGTCTGACACGGGCAGGAACCTGCTGGCTGCTTCTTGAGGTGGTGATGGGGAGCCCTGTGCTGTTGTGGCCACCTGGCAGCAGGCTGTACCTCCTGGGGCAGGGCTGAGGGCTGCGGGTGCTGAGCACCACGGCTGTATGGTGATGGGGAGGCTTTTAGAATCACAGAATCATCAAATCATTAAGGTTGGAAAAGACCTTTTAGATCACCAACCCAACCCATCCCCACTGTTACTACTAACCCACGTCCCTCAGTGCCGCATCTCCATGGTTCTTGAACTCCTCCAGAGGTGGTGACTCCACCACCTCCCTGCCAATGCATTACTGCTTTTTCAGGAATTATTCCTAACATCCAATCTGACCCCCCGGCACAACCTTAGGCCACTACCTCCCATCCCACCAACGAGGAGAGGAGGAAGACCTCCATCTCTCTTCAGCCTCCCTTCAATCCGCTGCTGCTCGTAGTGTCCCAAACTGATGATTAAAAACCAGCTGCTTTCTGCAGTAGCGATGTGATCTCAGAAAGAATTACATGAATCAGCCTGTTTGTACAAATTACAAATTCAGGGAACTGGGGGGAAAAAAAGCTTTCCTGTCCCATAATCACTGAACTGCACGTGGCAGTGTTTGTGCTGAGAATAGACGCGATAGCCTGTAATGATGTCTGTGCTGTGCAGATACATAATTAAAGGTCTCTTAAAATCTGTTTTGTTGCTGTAAAAGACAGCACAGTGAATTTATAGTTTCTAATGCATCTGTAAGGCTATGAGATGGCTGCTTTAAAAAACAACAACAAAACAAAAACCAAAAGACCCACAACAACCCACCAACCTGTTTTTCCATTCATTTTGCTCTCTAGGTGGCAGGTTCTGACACCAAAACAGTTCTGAGTTCCCTCTCTTAACTTGAGGTCTGAAACTGTGCCGGTGAAATAGAAGATGAAAACAAAAGCAGCACTACTTTATTCTTTCTGGATGTTGTATTGATTTATGATCATATCCCTTTATCTGAGTTGGGGAGAGGTGGTAGAGAGCCCAGCTGGTTTTCCTCCCTGTGCTCTCAGCCTGCCAACAGTGCTGCTATTTCTTGTTGTTTTTCAGTCTGGTATGAGTAATGCTGTCTGAACTGAGTGGCTTTAGCAGTCAGATGGGACCTGCCTTAGAGAAATACTGATCTTTGTTCTGATGTGGACAAGAAATGTTTTAGGCTGTTTCTTCAAGTGCTTACCTGTTGTATTTGTTGTTGTTGCTTTTATTCTGTTGCCCAAGGCTGGAGGGCTGACAAGAAGGAGACAGGTAGGGATGTTAGGGAGGAGAGAAATGAATTGTCACATATGAAAGAAAACAAAAGCAGAAACTTAACCAGTGCATAATAAACTGAGCTATGAAATAGTCACCCTCTGCTGACTCTCTGGAGGACAGCAGAAGGAGATGAGGCTCCTTGGAAGAAAAGCATCTTCTGTAGAGCCACATACAGCAGGCTGTGCACACTGAAGGCAGCCAGCAATGAGCAGTGCCATTGGGAACTGGAATAGTCCTGCTTTTTTTGTGATGTGTGGGACAAGATCAGTTTGGCTCAGGATCTGTAGCCTCAGCCATTGTGTGGAGGAGGTTGACTGTGCAGAAAGGCAGGAAGGGGTCTTGTAGCTTAGGAGCTGTGGCAATAGATGCTGTGTACGTAGTGACTGACATACGTGTGCCTCTGCACTTAGAAATGCCTCTGAGGAATCACAGCCTAAAGGGCTGTGTCTTGCCCAAGGTCATCCTCTCCTTTCTTGCTCTGCCTTTAGGCTGCAAGTCTTGCTGCTAACTACCAATAGCTGCCAGGAGAAAAAAATCAATAGGTGGGGGAAGGCTTCTCAGCAGTCATACAACTGGATTTATCTTATTATTATAACTTATTTGTCTTTTGGTAGGAAACTATCAGATGAGTTCAAGTCAGATACTGAACTTTGTCTCCCACAGTATGGATGATTTGGGAATGAATCATAGAATCCTTAGAGTTCAAAGGGACTTTTAAGCCCATTTAGTCCAACTCCCCTGCAGTGAACAGGGACATGCACAGTTAGATCAGGTTGTCCAGGGCCACATCCAGCCTGGCCTTGAATGTCTCCAGGGATGGGGCATCCACCACATCACTGGGAAAGCTGTTCCAGTGCCTCACCATCACTGTGCCACTGTAAAAGACCTTTTCCTTAAATCCAACCAAAGTCTACCTTCTTTAAGCCTGAAACCATTTCCCCTTGTCCTGTCACAACAGACCCTGCTAAAGAGTCTGCCCCCTTGTTTCCTGTAGCTCCCCTTTAGATATTGAAGGGCCGCTATCAGGTCATCTCAGTACCTTCTCCAGCCTGAGCAATCCCAGCTCTCTCAGTCTGTCCTCGTAGGAGAGGTGTTCCATCCCTTGGATCATTTTTGTGGCCTTCCTCTGGATGCTCTCCTACAGGTCTGTGTCTCTCCTGTACTGAGGACTCCACATCTGCACACAGTACTCCAGGTGAGTAGCCAACTGGAGCTTCATAGATGCCAATCTAGACTCTGGTTCCAGCCTCGTTCTAAAACACAGAAGGATTTTGGGTCAAGATCCATATCCATCTCCTAAGGTCTTCAGACATAGTAGAATTGGGTGTTTGGAGTTAAGCATGCAAGAAATGAAGCCAGGGCAGCAAAATCCCTGATGTGTTCAAGTAGATACATTTGATCACTGATCTACATTGACTAGATTTCTGGTCAAACTCTCATAAGAGAAACTCATACATCCAAAGCATGCATGATTGCAATCACCTGGGGACAATTAGGCTGGCTCCCTCTACAGCTGCACTACTGTAGCCCTTGGCCAGGACTTACTCGAAGTCACGTTTAAGGTTTCTGCCATGCCTCACCCCAAGCCAACTCTCCCAAAGCCCAGACTCACATTTCAGAAGTCACTTGAGCTTCCCTCCTGATTTCATGTCATACAGTTTATACTCAGTGTGCATGGTTACTGTGTTATCCTCATTTCTGATGCATTGGAACATAGCAGCAAATCTATATTTTTCAATTTGTCCTGTTTATGGTGCAGTCTATTTCTGTTGCAAAAACACTGTTTGTTTATTTAATGTGTCTTTTATAAATCATTTGAGAATGCCTCTATCTGATTCTTGTACAGGGAACAAAATCATACAGCATTAATCCATTCTTTCTTGCAATGATTGTAGCAATGATGGGAAACAATATAATTAGAAGCCATTCTTTCAGCATGGAAATTGTAATTGGATTGTGCATTTTATAGCAGCAGCTTTCAAAAAATAAACAAGAATTAGTCAACTAAAGAAAATATGCCTGGCTTGTTTTCCAGCCAGGGCTCTGTTCAGTGGTTAACTTAAGTTTCTGATGTTGTTTTTGTTATTCTGGTAAATAAGACATCCATAAATGCTTCTAGGCTGCTAAAAGGATTTTTCCTTCTGGAAATAGGTGTCAACACTCCTCCTGAAGCAGGCACTATGGTCATGTCCTCCTTGATCTCCACCCTGGGGTTCACTTAGAGCACCTTAGGATGTACTGGTGCTCCTGGGGAACAGATATGCTTTGAGATTTGGTTGAGAAGCCAATGTACCCTGAAGGTGAGCAATATACCAGTATGCAAAGAAATCAGGAGAACACAAAATAACCAGTTCTCTTGTAACTGGATTCAGAGAGCCTCAGTGATGGAAGAGAAAAGGCAGCATAGGAAAGATGGAAGGGATGGGGGCTGTTGTATTTACTGCCCAGCTAAAACACAGTCATGGTTGAAGCACAGAACTTAGGTGTTTTTCCTAGTGAGGCAGCCAAATCACACCTTTGGCTTACCCCAGTCCTTTCTGCCCTGTTCCCA